CAAAAATTTTAAAAATCGTTAAATTTATCTGAAAATGGTTACTTAGGGGTTTTTTGGGTCACTGAATTCGAATATGTTTATCAAACTTAAAAATTCAAAATGTCAAATTTAAGATGTCATGTCGGACAAGAATTTTTTTTTGGTGGTTGCTGAATTGGAATATGTTTGTTAAATTAAAAATGGCTATTAGGGAGAGGATCTAGTACTTTCAGAGAACTATATATGTGTTGTGTTTAATATATAGAATAATATTATATAGATAATATTAGAATATTATTAATTATAGATCTATATAATATTATATAGAAATATTATTAGGTATATTCTAAGTAGTGGATGGTTTATTATTCACTATTCTTTATAATTTTCGTGAAAAAACCCTTCTATGCAAAAAGTTTAATTAATAAAAGATTTATCCTGTATTATTATACATAGTGCTTGTGTGGGTTGAATGACTCATTATGTGATTAGGGACATTTGCGCAGGTGGTCCTGTGCATGAACAGTCTAATGATCGTTATTAGCTGACTCGATTATGCTTGAAACATGCACCCTCATAAAAACACTTGTTTTATAAAAGGGGAACTTTAAAGACGCTTTTTTAAACACTTTCAAGAATTAAACATTCATTAACATTATTACTAATTTGAGTATTTTCATCATTGTCAACTTCACTATTTTTATTCTGTCGACATAATATAAGTTACTTTATTTTCCCTTAGTAGTGACAGCGGATAAAAGTTAAAATTTTGAAGAAGTATCTCAGACATCATCTAAAAAATGTATCACCAGAAAGTTTAGTATTATTTTAAAAAAGAGCCTGCACATAAAGAGCTTTTGCCTCTGAGCTGGCTATAATTTCTAGCAAACACAAATTGGCTAGTTATTTTGTGACGGCTGATTTGTGGTAACCAAAAAATATTTGGGGATGCGCAACAAAAACGGATTGTGTATTCTGCAAACTCTCAGCTGTTTATGGAGACTACAAAATCAGTTTGCAGATGGTGCAAAGAGATACTGTGGATAACAGAGTAAATTTTTTTTACATGTACTTTCAAGATATATCAAGCTGGAGGTTTGACGTCGAGGTATAATGATGTGCACTGTCGATTATTGTCCAGTACAGACCATTAGATCTAGGCTGTTGATAAACCGGTTGTACTCAAGAGAGGTTTTCTACAGTTTCCCTCTCCTCTGGCGAGAAAACCCATCAGACGGGTTGTCCAGGCAAATGCGAGTACTCCTAATTTCAAGTTGTTCTGTAGACGCAGCATTTTATTATTAAGGTATATACATACATATAGTGTATATAATTATTACAAATAGAATATTTAACAGTGTAAAACACTTCCGTAGATAGAGTTAAGCTTATAATGATAGGACTATAATTGAAATTAATAAATTTCAAAATAGCTGCTCCAAAATGGCGACTGAAGTTAATTCCCTTCAACAATATTATAAACAAATGTAAAAAAGTGTTTAAAATAGATTGTTAGCTTGAAACTCATTACTCCATGGTTTTTGGGGTTGCTGATTACGAATATGGCTAAAGTTTTTATAAATTGAACATGGCGGACCCAATATGGCGGACAAGCAATTAAAATAAATTAAATTCTTATATTTAATAGGCAATAAGTTATTTAAAGCAGAGGTTTATTGTGTACATGGTTTTTCTACTTCTAGAGGTTAAAGTATAGATGGTATGAGCTCTAATTTAAGTCATGTTTAATCTGTTTATCATGAGTTCAATATTGTGTCAATGTTGCATGGCAATATTGAGGCTTAACTTAACATTGATTATGTCCGCCTGGTAACATGGAAACATTGTTTGGTAATGTTAATATATTAATATAGTATAAAAAATAAATAATAATATATACTAGCAACCTCACTCTCTCACTTTTTTAAAAATAAAATTAGCAATTTTAAAAATAATAGAACGTCAAAATGTTCAATTCAAATTTTTTTTATAAAAATAAAATGTGAATTGGAATATAAAGTTTTAATATTATTATAATTATAATAATCATATTTTCGGACAAAGAGAATTCAGGGAAAATTCAGGAATTTTCACTAATCGTACTAAAAAAAATTAAATTTTTAGAATTCATAAAAAAAATTTTGAATTTTTGTTTTTTTTTGTTTCACTCATAAACTATAAAATTAACACGAATTCTAATACAAAACCTTCAATTTTTTCAATTTCTGGCAAAAATTTCATTTTACATAACTTAAATCTTGAAACAACTATCATAAAATAAATTAATAATTTAATGAATACTTTTACTTAAATATTTCAAAATTAATTCAAACGGTTGCAATATGAAATTTTATAAAATTTCAATGTTGAATGAATTTAATTAGAAATTTTAATGAACTTAGATTTTTGAAAAATTTTAATAATTCAAAGTCTTCTAAAATTAGTTAAATCTGGACAAATTCCTAATTATTACCTATCTTTATAAATAAAACAATTCTTCAAAATTCAAATATTTTCAAAAAATGTTAATAAAATTCTTGTCAAAATTTCAATTATTTTCAAAAATTTTTCTCATTTTAATGATTTTCAATATCTACTATTTTAATAAAATTACCCAAAAGAATTCAATTATTTAAATACATTTTTAATGAAATTGTACGCAAATATTTAATTATTTTCATAAATAATGAAAATTTCACAGGAATTCAAATATTTACAAATTTTTTATCAATTTCTTCGGAATAATTCAATAAGTTTTAAAAATAATAAAACTCATCGTAAAATTTCAATTATTTTTAATACATTTTTAATCGAATTCCTTGAAAATGTATGTAACTATTCTAAAAATTTTTATTAAAATTCGTCAAAAGATTCTAATTATTTAAAAATTTGTTAATAAAATTCTTAATAAGAATTAAATTTTAAGAAACTTTCAATTATTCAATCAATATTTTACTTTTGTATTTAAATAATTGTATTCTCGCAGAATTTTCACATAAAAATTGATTTGAAAATGATTTTTAGTTTAAATTTTAGATAATAATAGAATATAAAGATAATTTTTAAATAATTTTTTTACATATTCAATTCTTATGTTATTAAAGTATCCGAATTCAAAAAAACATTCAGAAGAAGCGAAAATTCAGCTTTATTTATAGAAATTAAGTAAATTCCCATAATCATCCAGTACCTATTTTTTATAAATAAATAGGAGAATAATTTGCATAATAATTTAGATCAGTCAAACGAAAAAAAGCATATTACAAACAAAATGGGTATATTTTTTATTTGTTAATCATAATTTTTAAAAAAATTTCTAGTTTGTAATATTATTTTATTATAAATCATGAGAAAATACCTGAATATTTTCTATTTGTCAGACAATATTTTTTAAAGGACAAAATAAAGAAAAGCATATACAGAAACTATATAACTTCAAATTGCGGACAGAATGAAGTAAAGAATACGGAGATTAATATAGTTAATAATTAATAATTAATTTTATTATACTACAATATATATATATATATATATATATATATACAGTGAGTTCTCGCGAGTCGTTCAACTCACGAGTCGTTCAAACTCGCCAGTCGTTCAACAGCTGATCAGTGTCCGATTCACGAGTCGTTTAATTTCTAGCATGCGCGCGCCGGTGCTCAGTGCTGTGTAATTTAAACGGACCAAAGTCATTGAATATTGTGTCTTTCGGGGCGATAAATATGTTTCACACATCCCTGAAATCGCCTTGGAGGCGTGGCTTATGCGTTGAACGACTCGTGAGTTTTATGATCTTGAAAATTTTCGAGAATTGAACGACTCGCGAGAACTCACTGTATATATATATATATATATATATATATATATATATATTATATATATTATATTATTATAATTTTAATATTATAATATTTTTTAACATTGCAAAGCGAAGTTTCAAAAGGGCGGACAAAATAAATGTTGTGGTAATATTGACATCATATTATGTTGTGGTATTTGGGTATAATTAATGACTTATTGATATGGTTCCTAGAAATCTCCACTGCATCTATTTTAATTTTTTTGAACTCTCAGATAAACATCATGATTAATTATTTTTCTTTCTAAAAGACCATTTTCTTGCGGGTATACCCTTTTTTTTTTTGAAAATAATAGTTTAATACTGATGCTTTTAAATGATCTGTTTCTCAGGAATCGAAATAAATTTTCACATTCCAAGTAAATCCTAAAGCGGAAGTGAGAGAAGGAAAAGCGGTAAATTAGATATTGCGAGTATCCTGTTTATTCATGAATCTCAAGCGGCTTATTACTCGCTTCTCAATACGCATTAAAAGTTAAACTCGAGCAGCAATTACAGAGGAATTATCAGGAAAGAAGAAGTAGGAGTCAAATAAAACTTGTTCTCCTTTCGAGAGCAATTAAAAACACATTAGACACAAATTAATCTCGTTAAAATAAAACACAGTCGAATTTCTTTATCAAAATATAAATTTCACAAGCACTTTGTAATTTTCTTATTTTCTTATGCTGCTGTACCTGTATGCATGAAAAATCTCTCCTGTCAAAAAGTTTTTTTTAACGTTTATGGTTTAGGGAGTTTAATCTTTTGAAATCTTTCGGGGCCTCTTAATAATAATCGATGATATTGTAGTAGGAATTACTTTGAAGAATCGATAACAAGAACCACTTGTGGAGAATTCCAATTTATATGCTGCGTGATAGGACGGTATTCGTGGGTAAAATTTCAAATGGCCGCGTACTTAGATATCTATCTGGGATACCAGCATTTATCGTCCATGCTTTGCGGTTTACATATGTATAAATATAGTTTATTTAAAATATTGTAATGTAAAAATATTTATTTATATATAACTACAATACATAAACCTCTCTTCGATCCTCTCTTAATAAGATGTTCATCCGTAGTGCAGTTTCAACTATGTCAGTCAATAGAAGGTTAACAATGTATGTATTCTAATCTGATTTCCCAACTTTAAAATCCTTCATTTTTAATTTTTCAGGCCCCGATTTTGGAGGACTTTTGGTACACGCGTACAGGAAACCAAAGAGAATACGAACTGCATTTAGTCCAAGTCAGTTGTTGAAATTGGAGCACGCTTTTGAGAAAAATCACTATGTGGTTGGTGCGGAAAGGAAACAATTGGCACAAGCACTTTCGCTCACGGAAACACAGGTAAGATTTTGCAAAAATTTATTATCCTTGCGAATATCTTTCACGACTTGGTGATTATGCTATAATATTTTCGCACAAGCTGACACTATTACACACTCACAAACACACACACACACACATATTAAAGCTGCGAAAATGTCGAAAGTCTGCGACTATAGATCAACACAGCAAACAATCGTTGAATAAAATGCGCATTTACTCTCAAATAATTTAGTCATTAAACAGTCATTAACTGGACTAGGTGAGTATAATAACATTTACCATGAAGCGATGTTTGCTGCAATTATAATAATTAGCGACGAGAGACCCCGCGTGGATTTCTCGCGTATATAAATTTTTGTCAGCTACATATATAATTGGTTGGTAATTATCTGCAGCACGTGAATCCGATGGGAAAATCTAAAATGTTATTTTCTTTCGCTATCTTTATATCCCGTTGTCCGGAAGTTTATATTTCTAATATACAGACACACATTTGTAGGAAGGACAAAAAAATGCATGGCAATTGGGCATCTGAAGAAAAATTTAAGATTGTAAATTGTAATTCTTCTCCAAGAGTCACTGGATAATTGTTCGTTTACTTTATGTTTCCGTGGCAAAGAATTCTACCTATTACTTGTGAGTTAGTATAGCAAAGTGTGTGAGCCATGTTGTATTAAGACTGATTAGCCGTAATAGCGCGACTAATCGTAAGTAATTAGCTTGCTCGAGTCGCAAATGTAAATCTAAACCATTCTAACTTTCAACATCGACTTTAAAAGTTGGGATTTAATTGAAATTAGAAAACAAACAATTACATCAGGTCTAAAGAATAGATTTTATCTTTTTGACACCAATCATATTGCCACAGTTCGGGCAATATTGTCATACAATTTTGACAAACTATTGAGTTCAAATGTTGTGCTTTTCAGAATTGTTGTTGTAACAAACAAATAATGCAAAGCAAAATGCAACGTTAAATAATAAGATGATAATAATACGATAAAGAAATAAATTGTGTGTAACAAAATTGTGCCTTTTTAGTTTCTGATTTTTACACGTTTTGCATCGAGAAAATGAGAAGTGAATTGAACTAATTATGCAAAGTAGAGGCTTAACACACAGTGTAAGACTAATTACAAAGATAAACCTAATTACTATTCATTTATGTGCAAATGATATAAACTGTTTGCTACGTAGAAGTTAAATATAGGGTAGTGGACGCATGTAATTAATATTTTGTATTTTCTCGCTATTGCAGAATCTTTATGAGCTCTGAAGATTAGATATCGAAAATTGAATGTGTAGATCTCGTGTGGTACATATTATAACGAAAGGGACATTAAGAGTTTGAACAGTTAACAGGATTATTTTGACGATATAAGTACCTGTTAATAAAGCAGTAAGCGCAATAAATTTAATTGTATGTTTATTATGTGCATGAAATCAACTATTTATTAAACAGAAAATGCGCGCAAAGTGAAAAATAATTCCCAAGAATATAATAATATGGATGAAGAAAATTAATTCAATAATATAAGTGATTTCATAAAGATTGCTGACAAAATTCCTTATATAAAGCTTTGTGGAATAGATATATTTAAAAAACTAACTTCAAAAATTTTTTTAAAAATTTCTTTTTAAATTGTTAACTAAACATTTAATTTAACAATAAAATTTGAGCTCAGTATTATTTTAATATATTACATGGCAATTTTTCCAATGTTGACGGTCAATTATGACCCAACATTGATTATGTCCGTCCAGTAGGAACATTGCCTGGCAATTTTATAATATATTAAAATACCATAATATGTTAAAATTTATTTTATAGGGTTTAATCTTGATGATAGTAATATTATAATATTACTATCATCAAGATTAAACCAACTTCAGCGCAATTAAAGCTTGGACGGGTGACTTCCTCGAGCTCTACAGGGGTTGCGTTCTTGTGATTACACTCATACGCGTTAATCGTTAGAGTAAACATAAATAGACTCACTTTCACACTCACTTTCACTAATCTAAAATTATTTCTTACTTATACTTTCACTTTAACCAAAACTGAAATTAGTTTTTTTTTTACTTACACTATCACTTTTACTTATAAAAAAATTTAAAATTATACGTTTTTTTACTTATACACTCTCACTTTAACCAAAAAGTCGTTTTCACGTACGCTCATATGGGCGAATCTCTGGAACTTTTAACCTTTATGTCCCTCACATTATTTTCACTAAAACATCCTAAATATCAAAACTAACGATTTTTAATTATTTACATTTTTTCTATGTTTTGCTTTATTAAAGTTCACAATATCATGATTTTGCAAGTGTCATTTTCACTTTTTCTAAAAGTAGGTATATTTTAACTGCGTTCAAATAAGATTTTTTTGGAAAACAAGTTTTTAACTGTTATATAAACTATTTAAAAATATCTTAAGAATTCCATAAACAAACTTAAAATATTAAAAAGCAAAAACTGTAAAAGATATAATAAAAAAGTGTACCTCAATTTTTGTGTCGTTGGTCAAATCATCTTGGTTTTATAAAATAAACATTAAAAAACTAAATGAAAACATTTGAAGTTAGAAGCACAATTAAATTGTAATTTAAATTTTATATGCGTGATTCTTATTTTTATTTTTAACTATATTTTAAGCAAAATAATTGTTGGATACTTGTGATACTGGTGTAGTACGAAAAATATGTCGCTGGTCAAATCATTAATTTCTGCAAAGTTTCTTATTTAATTTGCTCCCAAATTGGGGCACATATTACTTTAGATGTATGTAAAACAGTGCACATTTTTGTATTTATTCTAATTTCTAATTAATTATTTATTTTACGTGGATATTCAATTTGTCGGTTGGTCAAATCAATTGTTTTATGTTGTTTATCACCAAGTAACCGAAAATATAATAAAAAGTGAAAAAATGAAAGAAAAGCGAAGAAAAGAAGATAAGAAGCGAGAAAAAAGAAAAGTGCAAAGAAATTTATGAATCATTCTATAATTATGTATAGTTATTCTTAATTAAGTTTTATTATGTTATTGAACACTAAAAATTTATTTTTAAATAACATTATAACTGAAATAAACGAAATAAAAACATTATAATAAAATATTTATAATAAAATTTAGGTTGGCTGCTATAGAGTTTTGGGGTTGGAAGATTAAAATGTTCTTGATTGGCCCGACGGTTGACAAAACTCCAAAGAATTTACTTGAAGAGATTTAAAATTTTTGGTTGACCTAAATCTGGGCCACGGTTAGTCTGAAGGTCGCAGCTTTTTTTGCCAATTACTTCATAAACCGCACTTAATGGAAGTCGGTCCTTAAAGATACTTAATATTCAGTTCATTAACTAATCATTATTATAGTTAAAATTAAGAAAATAGGGTAAAATTGCATGACCGCAGTATTATAATTTAGTTTGATAAGATTTTAATAAGTAGGTACCAAAGTATAGTTGACATTTTGTTTATATTTATTTAATAGTTTAAATCATTCTTCAAAATTAATTTTCAGTAATAAAATTTCTATGGGTTCACGAAGTTTTACATTCGGTCCTGACAGTAGATACGTGCGTCCTGAAAGTAGTTCTTCGTTTTACTCAACTTTTGAATAAACTATGAGATGCGTCGGCGAATGCGTAACTAAATAATACGCATAGAAAGACACCAAAAGTAAATCACTTTATGAATAAATGCATATACTATACTTCAGCCTTATATTTCCAAGGTGGAAAAGTTAACATTAGCTAATGCTACTAACGTTAGGCTAACGACATTTTTTGATCACTAATATCAGATTATAACTTTTCCACCTGGGTTCTATTAATCCTGAGATTACTTTTTGAACACACTTTGAAAACTATAATACAATATTATTGTAATACAATAAATCTGAAAATAATTCTAAATATCATCATACTGCCCACGTGATAGCCGATTTCCTCAACTTTTTGAGTAAATTTTATTCAATTCATTTTTTCCGTGTAAGAAAATAGCTTACAATACATTTTGTGTCTCGTGTGGTATGTATACATCGTGACTGCAAAGACAAAAACGCCAAGTTGTCGCAGCATCTTCTCTCTCTCTGGGTTTGAAGTTAAAATTTTTATCTCCTTGTATGCCAAGTTCCTTACTTTCTTGAGCCAGGAAGAACTCGGTTACATTCGAACAGATGGATGACAGCGCATTCGTAATGCTTTATTCTTAGTCCGTCGACGACGCGCCTCATTATGCATAGAGAATTGTACGCGGCCTGCATAATATGTAAACTTCTCCATTACCGATCAGAGCAACATAATGCGCTATGAAGGATTCACCGGTTGGTGCGAGAGAACATTTACGGTTCGCCTTATTATGAAAAATCTCGTGTGCCAATCTTTCCTTATGTTGAGACGATCAACCGAAAATATATTCCTCACTCGGAGAAACACTTTAGCATAGAAAAGAGGCATCTTACTTTATGTGTGTATACCGCTCGAAACAACTGAATTTATTTATATGCATTATTGAAATTTAACTCTTGCAAATCTATGATGCACCATTTTCATTGCGTGCACTGCAGGAAGAACAATTTTTCATTCTTTTATCTTTGCTCCTTTATTTATTGCAGATACAAACAAGATAATGTTAGATTCTTTTAGACAATCGCAGCAAAAGCCGTGACTTAAAATCCGTCAAATCAGTAATTATTATAGAAATTATAAAAACTAATCATAAAAATTATTTTAAAAACTTTATATTGTTTATTTGCAACTTTTCATTCTAATAAAGCTAGAGAGTTGTAACTTTTTCTTAATCCCCTAGCGAATCTCCAATAAAGTCTAAACTTATAATAATACCCCAGGTGGAAAAATTAACGTTAGTTAACGTTAGCTAATGCTACTAACATTAGACTAACGTTAACCAACGTTAGGCTAACGTTAGTCTAACGACATTTTTTGATCACTATAATATCAGATTATAACGTTAGTCTAACGTTAGTAGCATTAGCTAACATTAGCTAACGTT